AACCCTAAATCCTGAACCCCTAAAACCCTAAGCCCTAAAGCCTTAAATCCTAAACCTTAAAACCTTGAACAGGAGCAGCTCCACCTGGATCACGGACAGCTCTGCTACCAAGGAGAAGGACACTTGGCGGCTTAGGCTTTAGGGTTTAGGGTGTAGGGTTTAGGGGTTTAGAGTTTAGGGCTTTAGATTTGAGGGTTTAACAAAATTAGGGGTACCCTTTTTGGGTCCCTATAATAAGGACTATAGTATTTTGGGGTCTACATTAGGGTCCCTCATCCTCATTTAGGGTTTAGGGTTTGGAGTTAGGGGTCTAGGGTTTAGGGTTAGGTTTATAAGGTCATGGGTGAAGGGTTGAAGGCTTAGGTTTCTTGGGTCTTGGTCTTCAGTGTTGAGGGTTTGGGTTTCAGGGTTTACGCTTTAGGTTTAAGGTTCAGGGATAACTCGACGGAAGATCCCTTGGGCTCAAAGTGAAACAGGGCCATTCCTCTCGACGCTTCTGATGTGAGTAAGTCTGCCCGAAGCTTCAAGTTTCATATTTGTATTGTAGAAGCCTGAATATTGATCATGGTTTCTTTCACATTCCATATACTTATAACTTTAGTTTAACGGACCAGAAAACCGCATGTTAGCTACATAGGCCCCTAAATGATGACGCGAGGGGCCCGATACTAAAACTTGCTAAGCCAGGTGTCCACAATTTGAGCTATAGTCTAAACTGCTTAAAGCAGGTTTTCAGGGGAGTATAGGCGAGCAGTATAGGGCTTATTACGGGGAATACTAGGAGTTTAGATTATAGCTCAACTGGAGAGCAATCTGTCATGAGGAGCCAATCATCCTATTTCATTTCTATAACTCTCATGGCGCCCGAGGGTCAGCGTAGCCTAGATTCTAAGCTGCCCAAACCCTCAACCCTGAACCTTTGAGAAATGGTACTTTGCAAAGGTTAGGGTGACACGTCTAGACCCCAGTACATTATGATATTTATGGGGACATGAAACCCTTGACCTTAAACGAAGTTATGGGAAAACCAAAATCCCCAATCTAAATCCCAAAACCCTAGTCCCCATGCACTCAGGATCTGCCATGTCTGAGATGGCCAAGCAGCACGCTGACCTTTTCGTGCCTGTTTCTGAGGAGTCTCAGATGCAAATTCTACATGAGCTATACTCTGAACTCCTTAAAGGGGGTTATGTAGGGGATGATATGGGGGAGTACTATAGGGGGTTGTTAGGGAGACAGGAGTTTAGTATAGATGCAAATTATACATGGACCTCACGGTTTAGGGTTTGGGGTAGGGTTTTCTGAGTCTGGGGAGAGTGCTGTATCGAAACCCCGAAAGAAGGCAAAACAGAAGCCCATAACCCATGCAAACAGGCCGTTTGGGGTTTCCAAACATGGTTTATGGGCAAAATCCTGCAAGGGCTCACAGGCGAAGCTATAGGCGGAACCCGTGTTTTGTTTTTTGCTGTTTGGTCTTTTTTGTTGTTGGGCCCTACAAGACGACGCAGGCAGACCGGTAAGAGAGTGAACTCCTGTCCCCCGCCCAAACAGCCAAAATGTAAACACGCCCCCCCACCCAAACAGCAAAAGAACAAACACGCCCCCGCCCAAACAGCAAAAAAAGAAACACGACCCGCCCCCTCCCTCCGCCGAAACCACAAAAAAAACAAACACGCCCCCTGCCCAAACAGCAAAAACGACCAGACAACTAAAAAACAACCACTCTTACCAGCTATAGGCATGACGGTATCGCAGGATCATCAGCACCCGAACAGTTACCCCCTTTCAAAATCGTCCATATTTCCGTATAGGGTACGATTATAGACGCGAATCCTCGAATATCCGTTCCGGCTTGGTTAGCCCTAAGACCTACGCCTAAACTCTAAACCGAAAAGTGGGCTTGCAGGGTTGGCATGGCTTTACAGGATTTCGTCCCGGTGCGTGCTCAGGGTTTAGGGTTGAAGCTCCGGCTCCCTTCAGCTGCACTTTGGCAAGGCAGGTATTTGAGGATTTAGGGCCTAGGGTTTAGGGTTTAGGGAGGAGTTGCGGCCAAGTTAACGGCAACTCAGTACAGTAGGGATGTCGGTGTGATTGTCCTTGAATGCCCAACTCTCTTTCTCAGCTTCGTGCATTCCGTTGTGAAACGATGGGCGACATGTAGTCGTGCAGTCCTTCCGAGAAGGGTTCATGCAGTCATGTAGTGTATACTTGAGATGGAAGGTAAGCTTATGAGAAGCGCTTCTTGCGAAACGAAGTGCATGCTACATTGACCCTTTGGTTTCAAATTCCAGTGTCACTTGGGGCGCAATAGGCTTTCGGTTTTTGCAGGTCCTTCACACTGATCTGGGAGTCTCCAGAAATAAGCCCAGATGGAATTCATTGCAGGGAGTTCATAGTCTTTTGTAGTCCTCATATACCATGGTCCCTATGCGGACCCCTTGTTCTGGAAAGCCTGGCCCTTACATCACAGGTAACTGTGAAGGAGTGGTGTTGGGATACAGCGTGTTGAGCGCTTGGAATCCCTTCTGAGAAGGAAGGGCCTTTTGGGTTCCCATCCTTGGGCAGGGCTGCCCCCATGTTATCCAGATCCCCTAGTTCTCCCTGGTTACATCGGTACGCCCCTGTGGCACATCAGCCCGCTTGGCACATTTCAGGGAAACGTGTGGCCCTTGGTGCTACTAGACTTCAGCCCCGAACTTTAAGCCAGCAAACTTGTGACGGCTGCTTATGCTTGGCAGGGAAACCTGCAAGCCTAAAGCCCGAAACAACAGATCTTAAACCAAACGCTCCAACCCTATGTCCAACAAACCTCAGACCCAAGCCCGAGACCCTAATCCCAATCCCATAAGCCTAAACCTCGAAGCAAGGAGTGGTGCCACGAACCCTGGCTACCTTTCTATGCGGGCGGACTGGTGATCAAGGAGCACAACACAAGGGCTCTGAATGGGATGGGGTCCCTAGACCCTATACCCTGCACTTAAATCCTATTTTTGTCGGCAGAGTTTTAGTGCTTTCGGGGGTTGCAGGATCTGCCTCCGGGGTGCTTGTGAGGTCCTTGCCGTACTGGGACTGCGTACGAACCTCAACGCCCCTCCTAATTAAGCCATAGGTCAAAACTATAGTTTACTCAATACTCCTATGTAGTTCCTTTATTGGTGATATAGTATAACCCCTTACCAAAAAACCATCGCAAACCCCAAAAGAACTACATGGGAGCGCTTGGGTGGTGTTTAAATTGGCGGCTGACGGTCTTCCCAAACCGGACTGAGCCTGTTAAAGAAGGGATTAGGATTTCCCAAGACTCTAAAACTCCAGCTCGTGATTCCTATTGGGGGTAGGGAAATGGTTTGCCGAGATTATTGCACAGAATGTAGACAATATTGGTGCGAATTTCAATGGTTCGTTCCGCCCCATTTCGGCGCCCATGGTCATGACAGGAGCATAAGGGTGGCTTCCTTCTGACGCCGACGGTTGCTGTGCTGGATCTTCTTTGTGCCGTGTTGGTTCACATTATAAGGTGTTTTGCTTACCCCCGCCCCAGAATCAGGGCCCATAACTCTCGCGTGTTTATAGTCAGGTTCCAGTGCAGTGTGTTGTGCTTTCCACATTCTCTTTATCATCACAGAAGGGTTCCTATCAATTACCCAGGCAAGGCTAGCTCTGCAACAGATAACATACAACAATATACTATAATATTGTAGTTTCCATTTTCTTTTCCATTATCCCCAATATAACCCTACATAACCCACATATATATATATAAGGTACTAAGCTGCGGATTATCAACCAGGTCCTCTCAGAAATCACGGCCACAGGTCCAATAACAAGCCACAAGTTCTGAGCTAGCTACAGCCCTATCTGTCCTTCCCTCAAATACCCCTAGGCTCCCCATATGAGCTTTATGTGAGCCTTATGTAAGGGTACACGCCTGGTGAATTCCCCGCGTGAAATCTCCCTTGATATAACATACCATATCTCGTATATCTCACAATGCGTCTGTCGCATCTCGCAACATCCCGGCGTAGACAGTGTTATGTACAGGGTCAACGGCCTGCGCACAGTTGGCGTCTTAAAGCTTCTGTCCAGATCCGGAATGACTTTGAACCCTAAACCCTGTACCCAATGGCCTCTCATGGAGTCCACATTTTTCTTGGCCCTCATGATGCTGATTTAGGGACCCCCCAATCCCTTAGGAATCTTCCCGTACTTCGAAAAGCAAGCAAATCTTGGCTTGGTTTTGGAGTGGGGTCTGTAAGTGGCCCCTGGACAAACGGAGGTCTGATGATGCTGGCCGCGGGAGGGGTTAGCACTTGCGGCGCCACCACCAGCTGTTAAGCCCGTATCCTATACAACGCATGTGACCCTTTTGCAGCCCGAAGCCCGAAGCCGCCACTGCTCCTACTTATCCAGAACCTCCTGTGTAGTTCCGATTCGGGTACGACTATGTTAGAACCCGTACCAAAACTCATAGCAGACCAAGAAGGTACTACATAGGAGTAATTGGGGGTTGCCCAAAATTAGGGGTACCTTTTTGGGGGTCCCTATAATAAGGACTATAGTATTTTGGGGTCTACATTGGGGTCCCCTTATTTTGGGAAACTACCAATTCTCTTAAACCACAAATTTGACCAGGTCTGGAACGATCGCGAACATCCGGGCTTAGTGGACCCCACGCAAGCTTTCGTCTTCTGCTCAAACATCGCCGATCTCTTCACGCACTTTTTTGTGACACTTCACTACATTGGCTCTGTAGGTTTAGGGTTTACAAGGTCCATTAAAAGCTACTCATCTGACTACGATTAGTGAAAGTTTGCATTTAGGTTGGTGGGCCCCAGATTTCGGACATATGCTGAGCCTGCCTGACAACTGAAGCAAAAATCAATCAGGAGGCCACACATGAGTCTGTGGAACTTGGTGCTGCTTTGCGGAGGCCTCATAGTAGGCATCCTAGTTGCTGCTAACTTGCTAGTTTGGCAGGGTACACAAGACTTCAATTTCGGGTGGGTGCATTCGTTGGTCCAATCAGGGGCCAGCCGATCACCCTTCCGGTGGGGCTTTTCTGGAGGGCCACACAGGATTGCGCCTGTCTTCTTTTTTCTTGACTTTGCATGTGGGGGCATATCTAACCCGAAACCTGAAACCCTCAAGGATCTAGGATTTAGGGCTAGAGTTTAGGTGTTAGGTTTTCTTTGTGGCCATGGTACTTCGTCTCTTGAGGGATTCATAGAGTGGAGCTATCAGGGCTTCAAGTTGATGACAAACTTGAGAACTCAATTTTAGGGTTAAGGGTTTAGGCCAGGACTTTTGGAATTTGAGGTGACCACTTGTTCCCGGACTAGCCCTGAAGCCGCGAAAAAGGGACTACAACCCTAAACCCGAAGCTCTGAACCCTACCCCGACGAATCACTACCCTCACAATCCTCACATGTCCTTGCATCTTTAGACTTTTTGGATATGGGGTGGTGTAAGAAGCCCGCACAAGAAGATTGGCGCGCCGCAAATTGCAAAGTGTGGGGTTCTAGATGGGAAAATGTCAGGAATATTGACGACAACACAAAGGATACGGTCCAACACTTGAAAAACTGATCTGATAAGAGAAAAGAAAGCGACAGTATTCCTGGTCAAGCAACAGGAAGGGGTATCTAGACAAGCCCATATACCATCCTGGCTCAGGATATTCTTGTCGCCGCCCGTCTTTGAGATCGAGATCGCTCAAGCCTTGATGATCAGCGCATACCAGATGCTGGCCGGGAGTGCACGCTAAGCCTTTACTGGGTTGCCGTTACGGAACTTTAATCTACTTACTATAACAAGGAAGCCCTATTGTTCACCCTATACCCATATTATGGTAAACTAACTTAAGTCAGGCATCCAGGTTAACCCTAAGTCCCAACTGGTATATATTTCTCCTATGACAATACATATATTGCTGTCGCAGTGCAACCTTAGAGCTACACGGTTTGGGTTGTAGGGTTTAGGGCTTAAATACCAATCCAGCCATAGTCTAAACTCCTTAAAGGGGAGTTATGTAGGGGACTACTATAGGGGTTGTTAAGGGGGATACTGGGAGTTTAGACTATAGCTCATATGATTGGGCACCTCAACCATTGCTGAAACGGGTGAAAAGATCCTTCATTCCCAAGCTTTGCCACCTGGAGGGTTTTCCGCGCATCGAGCGCGCAAGGGATAGCACCCGGGGTTGATGTGTTTCCGGAGTTTGCATTGTGATACGGATTCCTATTTCATGTTTTGTATTTATTGAGACAGTGTAATTTAAGCAGTGTCAAATTTCGGGCTTTCGCTACAAGAGCCATCACGATTTGGGTTTTGGCTTAGGGGTATCTGCATGGATCGCCAAGCGGAATGGAGTCCGTCGTGTTTACTGCAGCATAACAAGGATCCAGGTTACTAACCCTAAACCCTAAACCCTAAGCCCGAAACCCTAAGCCCGAAACCCTAAACCCTAAGCATCCAGGTTACGTCCAGAGATCCTGAAGAAGCACGCCCCCACCCTACACACCAGCCGAGACTGGGTATTAAGGGATTATCCCCCTATAATGGAGAATCAAATGGAAAAGAAAATGGAAAATGAAATGGAAACTGAGGAGAATATGGGGATTTAAGGAACTTAAATTAAGTTACTATATTGGGGAAACCCTATTATTTACTATATATACCCATTATAGTAACTTAATTTAAGTTCCTTGACAGCAACCCAGAAGATTGAGCAGTCAA